CCCCCAGTTCTGCTGCTCTTGAGATGGAAGTGCTTTCTGGGGTCTCCTTTTAAGAAGGCTTAAGACAGAGATCAGAGACAGTTCAAAAGTGAAGGTGTCAGATAGGAATGCATGTTATTTTAGTTCAGGGGCAGACTAACAAAGCAAGGATGCACTGTTATCCATGGTTTCTGTGTTGACTGAGTCCCCTTGGGGCAGGGGTGTCACAATGACTAGTGGAATTCCCTTCAGGGGTGTATTCGTGAGCATATGATAGGAGACTATTCCAGGCAAGACAAGAGAGGCAGAATCAGAGTGTAAATGTCTCAGCCATCAGGGGTTAGCCAAGGAGGCAGGGTGAACTAGTTGATAACAGAAAGTCTGAGAAAGATATCTGAGGTGACAGTGCCTTTATTAAAATGTATCACGTGTTACGGTTAATTTATTTTAAAATTTAAATTTAAAAAGTATTTAAACCGTGGTTTGGCCACACCGTTGCGGTGGTTCCCCTTTGTTTGACAATGAGTTGCTGTGTTAATCCATGGGAACACAATGACACACCACTTGACAAGTAACGTGTATACTGTACTATAGGTCACCAGTGTGTTCCAATACCCCGGCACTGTTAAGCTTTTTGCAAACACAAGAAATGAGCTTCAAACCTGTGAATGAAGATACCCTGCCCTCCTGAAAATCACAGAAGCATCCTTTTGGATTTAAAGATCACGACCACGCTCACAGGACTCGAAGTGAAACCAGTAAGGAGCTGTCTTCACAGGAGCGGTGCACTGTACGGCGTGCAACTGGACTTGCCGTTTCCCACTAAACGACTGCGTGTCTCTCTGCAGGTGGGCGCCCTGGCAGCCACAGAGCCGTGCCAGTCCGGGAAGCACACGGCCGGCGGGGAGTGCTGTGAAGAGTGCCAGCCGGGAGAGGGCGTGGTGCAGCCGTGTGGGGTCACCCAGACCGTGTGTGCCCCCTGTATAGACAGTGAGTGCCTCCGCCCGATCGTCTTCTCCTCAAGACACACAGATGGGAATCCTGCGTGAGACAACCCTGCTCTCAACTGTCAGTCTTACAGAAAAGCTGTAGCATGTTTTGACCTGTGTCTTCCTTACTGATATGACAACCATGCAAGACAATGGGTTTGTCAGCCAAACAGCTGTACCATTCAAGCCACACATTCCTCGGCCCCCAGCCTGAAAGGTCACAGTGCTGCAAGCTTTAAGATAATTTAAAAACATCACTGTTGTTCTGTTTGAGTATTTTATTGTATTGCTCCTTTCCCAACTCCTCAGGTGGAGGGGCCAGCATTGAGGATCCCTTTTTAACCTGAGAGTTACAGCTTTCACAGCCTAGTAGCTGATTTGGCATCCACCAGTAGTGCCAGAGCTATACTCCTTGTAAAATCCTTGTATAATCAGCAGAGAATAGACCTGACCATGTAGGCAATGATAGAGCCACTGTTGTGTTTTGACTTGTGGTATCAGTACTATATTCAGCACAACACATTACGGAAAATACAGTAATAACTTAAAAAGGTGTTTTTTCTATCTTTAGATCACAAGTGATGTGGGAGCTCTGTTAGTGAGTGTAATAAAATAGCTGTCTCTACCCAGGCACTGTGCCTGACCCTTTGAGCTCTTTTTATGGCTAATAAGAGAAACAAATAAATGCACTTTATATATTGAATATAATCCTAATTACTGTAATTACGGGGTATGCAGTGCAGCCCTGCAACGAATGCTTTAAAATATAATTGGGTACCTCCTGTGTTGTGCACGGATGCCTAATACTTCATGCTTTTGGCTCAGGTTTGTATTAGGGCTGTACGGTTAACTATCACTCTGCCTGGCCTTGTGCATTTGCAATAATTAGAACCTGCACATGCAGTGGAAAATTCCACAGTGAGCTTTTCTGAAAACAGTGGCTATCCTGAAGTCATTTAAGTGTTTGTATTAAAATGTATTTACAGCAGGTCACCATGGCTACAGGTGAACACACTGGAGAAATCTAATGACATCCCTTTATGAAAGGACATTGCACAAGAGTGTCTTCAAACAGTGCTATATCAGTAGAAAGAAAAAACAAATTCAGGGAAATTAAGACATACTGTATGTGGTTTAGTGCACTGAGAAGGACTGTGAGAAAAACAGTGAATTCTCAGAAGATCAGAACGGAAACATTAGTTCTTTAAAGCTGGCTAAGGTGTTGAAGATTTACAGCCCTTTAAAATCATGATGGGTTTAGCTAAGCTAGAATTTTAGTGCTGATGGGCAACATCTCCATCATAAATCAAGCTCAATCTTCTTCTAGAC